GAAGATGAGGAACTGAAAGACTGTGTGAACAACGTGTGGTATTTGGCAATCAAGGACAATGCGATTAGCTAGTCATTTTATTGCTGCTGACTGCTGCAAGCTCTGTCGCCCAATCAGCTAAAGGCAAGATGCTTCTGTACTATTATAAATAACACATGCTCACGGCTAATAAAGTAGTAAGTGTTTGAACCCCAGATGGACTTTTGTCATTTGTCCGTCACAACAATGACAAAACCCCAATTCTGCAGACTCTTAGGAGGTGTTGATGGCGTTCTATGATTCCTTCTTCATCTTCAGGATGGCTGAGACCCATGTTCAGCATCTCTCCAGCCCATGGAGTGGAATATTTTGTTTTTCTAGTTAGTTTGGAGTGTACAACATCCGGGCAGAGAGGAAGACATTTGAAGAGCTGATTGCAGTTCAGAAACCTTGGACACAGCTCCAGTCATTGCACAGTGCATTGTCCCAAGAGAGTATATTGGTAATCCCAAGGCACCAAAAGAAAACCTTGAGAAGAAGTAGAAAAATGGTATCCCATGTGTGGCGCATGGACAGTTCAGGACAGCCGGTGCTCACGTGTGCTGGCTCACTCCTGAGCACAGCCCTTGGCCATGCCCAGCGGACCTGGGCTCCTCTGTCCCCATGGGAGGGCCACATGCTGGGCATAGCCAGCACCGGGGTTGACAGTGGAGCAGGCAGAGGCTGCCTCTGCCCATGTCACGACGGGTGACACTGGCTGCTGCACGGACGGTGGCCCCTGCACCAAACAGCTCCACGCTGCCTGCGTGGTCTCAGGTCCAAGTTTCCGGGCAAGGCAGCCCGAGGGGGGAAGGTAGAGCTGAGAGTTGCGCAGACCCTGAGCCAAAGCCCGGCCCCGGCTCGCTGCTCCCGCGGCCTCCGCTGCCCTCTAGTGTCCCGAGCTGTCCCGGGCCCCGGCGGCCACGAAAGTCCTTGTCCTCGGGGGCAGCTTGTCCTTGCCCCCTGGGCCGGGTTAGGGCACGGGTGAGGGCTGCTGCTGGTCCAGAGCAGCCTGTTCATTCTGTCCCGGTCAGGAAAGATAATGATAAAAACAATAAAATTAAAAAAAAAACGAGAAAGGCAGGCGGGAGCAGAGAGCAAACAGCAGCTGCCTGCTTGGAGTGAGGATTCTGTGGCTGTTTTGGCATCTTGCAATGTCAAGAGCCAAAGGCAGCAACGGAAGCTGAAACAGTGACCGCCTTAGCAGGAAGAAAAAAAAAAGGAAAAAAAAAAAAAAAAAAAACAAGGGGGGGGCAAGGACCACCCTTCAAAAAAGAA